TATAATAATTGGAACCTAAAGATCCCTTTGCAGAAAAAGTAAAAACACTCATATTTATGAACTTACTGACCTACTTTTTTGTGAAAACGACATTTGGTTTGACCCCATTGTTGGTTGATCATTAAAAAGGATTTCAGCTTTTTTCATTGGCTTTAACCAGCCAATAGCAACTTGTGTATGTTTATACATAAAAACGGATAACACTTAGTTTGCAACGAATTTTCAGAACGCATCGCTTGCACTGTTATACACATGAAGATAAATATATCGTTCGCACAGTGAGCAAATATGATATTGTGATCGGTCACTAGTCATAAAAGGAAGCAACATGTATTCTTCTTATGGTTACCTCGATCATTTATCAATTTTGATGCTCCGAAGGAATAAAGAAGAGAAAACATTCCGATATCGGTTATATTATAAAGCAAGATTGCTAAGCTCCAAAAATACCACAGGAAAAAGTCTCTTGTAACTTGTGATATATAAGAATGATATTCTTTTGCTTATTTCTTTATTAACTTTCTCTTACAATAATATGTAAACAAAAAGGGAATATTTCGAGTTGAATCTTAATCACGGCACTTCTTTTCTCTTTCTCACCTGTAGTCGCAGTTAAAGGAAAGGTATCCTGCAAAGAAAGCAGGCAAACTTGATATAAATTTTCAAGTCCTACTCCTTCATTTTGACGCTCACCGCACTAAAGCATTGAAATACAATAGTTTTACTTGTTCGTTAAAAATTAGAAAAACTACAGCCTTGTATGCGTTCGTTTCGGAAAATGCCTCGACCTATCAATTAATGCACCCCTCGCTTTACAATTTTTGAAATGATGGGTATTCGCCTCAACGCGAAGCCTGCTGACCTGCTTTTCCTCAATTATGATGCTTTTAAAACCTGGTCGCTACAGTGTCTATTGTAGATATATATATTTACGATACGGTGTATAAAATAAGTGCAGATAACTTCGCGGTGACGCAGTAAACATATGTAACACATTCTTTGCATTGATATTTGCACTTACAGCATAACGAACATATTCGCATGTGATGAAGAGTCTCTCGCTTAACATTCCTTAGAAGGAATGACCTGACCTGACTCTTTTCAGAGGCAAACCTGTTAGGAGTGAAATATCCTATCCTGTGACAATGCTTCAAAGCCGCAAAACAAATATATATTCAGTCCTAAGCGACTAAATTATTTCTACTCATCCTACTACTCAAGGAGATCAGAAAGTGTGTAAATGTTTTCGCGCATTCCAATGCTTCCCTGCTTACAAACGTCTATAATTGGACTTGATTAACTGACGCTGACTTCTTTCTGATACAGACGAGATATATCAATATTCACTTTTGAACGTCACTAATATTCGATAAACTTAGTATACCTTTGCTGGTGAATGCAGTAAAAACAACAACAGAAACTTGCTAATTCCACTATTTCATTGTAATAAACATGCAAGAGAGTACTACCCCAACACCTATACAAGCGTACAAGACCAAACTATAGTTATATTGTTTTCATACCAAAAAAAATTGCATAATAACGCTGCAACAAACAACCAGTTAATGGCAAACGGGCTGCATGAATATATGCGGTATACACTTT